GACAATAGGAAATATTTTTAGCAAAGGCAGATTGAGTAGTGCACCTCATATACCCCTTATCTGAGCATTTTGACCTACGGTAACCGTCGCTATAGGGGTTTGGTGGGTGGGATAGGCAGTGAAGAAAATTTGTAGAAATGGAAAGTGCGAAATGTAGTTAAACTTGCTTCCTGTGGCCACTGGGGGTAATTTTTTGAGCACCACGTAGATTGAAGGTGAGCGCGGCGCTTCGTGCCGAGGGATATACTAATCTAATTCCAGAACGGTAAGTTGGACCTCAGGTAAGTTAGGGTAGACGACCTCCTAACCACAATTTCTATCTTTTCAGGAATTTCGAGAAACTTGCATTTTGATAAGTGGGTTTTTCCACAATAAGTTAGACGACAATACAGATTAGGAAATCTACAGATATAAATCAACATTTCTAAATCCAATCTAGCGGTTATCCTGCCTATCCTAATTATTTACCGATCAATTCCCTATAACTACCGTTTTCGTAGGACAAATGCTGAAACTAGGCGTATAAGAGGTGCACTACTTAAACAACTGTTGCCCAAGTAAAACTAAATTGCCATAAGACCCGTACAACCGGAGGATGCCTCGTTGACAACTGGATCTTGCCTTAATCCCAGAGAGTGTGGATAGTTGGCTTTTTACAAGCAGACGACTGGTGCACAAAAGGTGACAGACACTTGACACTTGACGAGGTGTTTTTAAAAGTTATAAAAGGGAAAAGGCGCTGGGTGCGCTCTTTCCTGACAGAAGAATACGTGGTTGGTGATTGTCCAGTGAACGTACGATTATCGTTGCGAAGGAAGTCGGGCAAGAAGAAGAATTCCGGTATTAACTCTCGGTTATCATTGTGGCTGACCAGCATGAAATTCCATGCATTGGGGATGGAATTGAACTGACGATCGGCAACGTCAAACCTGTGAAATAGAAACAAACTCATATGAGAGCAGTCTTAGCAGGAGTTTTAAACACAGCAAAGCAACATACCTAGGTGGATTTGCAGAGACATTAAGAGGGAAAGAAAGAGAGACACTAGGAACATAATTGAAGACTGGGATTGTAAAAATAGGAGAGCAGTCCGCTCTTTTGAGTCGAAATATGATAGTAAGGACGGAAAATCGGAAAAAGTCGCCAAAATGTTTCCTGAACAGCTGACGATAAAGTTAAATAAGAGTGAGATATCGACGAAATTGTGAGTAGAGTGATTTACAGTGGATATACTATCTCAAACGATTGGAATAAGTTACTTAAGTAGGGTTGTCATAGCGATTATCATGCCGCCTTATCTCAAGATATTTCCGTCGTGACAGGATGTCGACTTTTGGACAAACTTCTTTCCAACCACCCACAAAAAGATACTCCAGAACAACTGCCTACTTTGTTTAATATACAGTTTCCCCCTTAGTTTCAGATGCCCTTATAAATACAAATACATCATAAAATGCTCCTTCTTGTACCATTTCGTATCAAATCGCGCCTTCTTTATAAATAAAGAAAGCGTATCTTTGCGTTTTAAGAGGATTCTCATTAAAAGGTTTTTAAGACTATTACATGTTGATTTATAAAAGGTCGTACCCATCAATCTATTAATTTTGCCTGTAAAGTATGCAACATAATTCACACCTAGTGCAAAATGTGATGAGTACTATATGACTTCTTCCCCATAGCGTAGGGAAATGTGTGACTTTCTTCAAACAGAATGTATATAGCATGTAGTTTAGAGACCTTGAATACATGTCTAAAGGCCAGTATTTTTCGAAATAACTCGGAAATGTATCAAATGTTTTATTAATCGAAAGGTATCCTTTCTTCAGATAGAACATTTAAGGAAGGTATAATTTTTTACAAAACGGACAAAGTACAGAACTTTCTAGGGCAGGTTTTCTATATAATATATTTGAATTTATAAAGGCCTCTAAAATCAATGCATATTATTTAATTAGCCATGGTTACGGAGGAAAGTCCTTGCACACAATCAGGAAGAAGTTAATTTAAAAGCCGGGAGCGTGACACGCGTGGATGAGTTCGCATGATAGTCGGCATTACAGCCCAAATTAAGTGATTTGTTAAAATAGAAAAAAACATTCCAGAATTATGATGAACATTTCATGAGATAGAAAATCTGCTGTGGACCTGTTTCATGCTTATTTGACCGTCATTCAGCCACACATAATCCTAACAATTATCTTGGTTAATTCCGCTTTGCTAGGAGGGTGGCTGATCATCGGTTAGTTTGGCTTGGGAAGCAAATGTCCCCAGTGTGATCTATACCTGCATAGTAACAGCGCAATTAACTTGTAGGAATCCGTCGCCCAGAGCAACTGCACTGATTCATGCTGCCTTTCGTGCACTGAGCTTCGCTCACTGCGCACTATTGTCCTTTTGCATGCTTGATGTCCAATCACCGCATTTAAGCTTGTAGCTAATCGATATTCCTGCCTCATTTGATTGGCGCCAGCCGATTGATTACTCATTGCACAGCCTAAACTCGTCACATCCCCACTTTTGCACCTGCACTGCTGGCTATCGTACGCGGCGCCACTGTAAAGCTTCTTGAGCAGTTAAGTTGTTCTAATTCAATCAGTCTTCCCAGACTTGCTATTTGGGGATCCTTCTGGAGCTGGGACAACAACCAGCTCTCAATAAACCATCATCCTCACAGATGGGCATGTCTGCAAAATCTTAAAGAAGGTGCTTGTGTGAAGGCACTTGGCACAGGTTCTCCGGACGGGCACTAAACTTTGAAGGCGACAGAATATCGGAAGTAACTGCACCAGTGTATTCTGTGAAATTGATGCATAATGCGCATGCTTAATGGTAGTGGCATCGTCTGCCTGTCAGGAAGTGAGACATAGGAAACGACTGCGCTCAAGAACAACACTGAGCCCTAAGGCAGCGCGGGACGACGAAGTTGCCTTAGCGATCGGTGGACGTTCATAAACGAAGTTCAATATTCCTAAACTAAACGGAGAAGACAACGAGCCCAGGGCGCAAGGATTAGACCGTTGGATGTCTGATCAAAAGGTTGCGGGTTCGAGCGTCGGGTGGGGCACCACTTGGGGGGCGGGGTACGACTGACTGATGGCTGCTGATGAACCAGAAAAGGCCATTCTAATCTCCATTGTGTTTGCTGGCAATGCTCAGATGCCCAAATTACTAGCCGCTGTGCGGCTGCTGGCAGAGTTCGACAGCGAGTCCCACGACAGAGCAATGCCAATGAGAAGAAGGCAATTCGATCGATGACGCCGTAATTCTCGCAAGAGGTGACAATCGGGTGAGCCGAGAATTACTTGAGTCGCGGTTCACGGGCCCCAAATCCATCAACAAGTGCAACGATTTGCCCAACCGATATTCGGTGCTGAGACTCAATTTGGCCAAAGCAAGTCGCCACTTGGGGAAC